GAGATAATTTTAATAAATAAGTTATATGACTGTAGTTAATTGTATAACGAATTGTTATACTTTGAACACTTGTCTCATATCTAGTGATAATTGACTTTTTATTGAGTTATTAGAGTGTGAATAAATGGAAATCATATAAAAACTTAGTTTAAGTTGACGAAAACAAATTATAAATACATTGCTTATGAATAAAGTTTGCAAAATATATGCAAATTAAGGGAAGAAATAGAGAAATAAGAGTACATTTAGAGTACGAGGAGTAGAGATAAGACACAAGACTTACCCCTCTTTAGTAAGAAATGAGAACTTTTGCTGTTCATCCCAAATGGTTGACAACTGTGTCTTAAGACACCTCCGGATCTCTTCACAGGAATAGTTGTTTCGATTCAATACAACCGAACCTAAAATGATTGAGTTCTTAGAGATGGGCTGGAAGTGAGGGTTTCGGTCATTCGTGCCGAAAGAAACCCTTTCGTCGACCACAACAACACCACAAACAATGGTATTCTTGTTGTGGTTCTCGTGGTTATTCAGTGTATTGACGGTTCCGTCCGATGAGGAACGGGAGGACATGTCGTTTGTGTTATCATAAGTTTCTGCGACCATATTTACATGCAATGTATGAGTGATTTCTTCCAACTGTTCCTCTGAAACATTAGCCAAAAACTCATTGTATGGAAAAGTGTTGGGAAAACTAAATCTGTTGCTATGTCTATCTTCGGGTGCGGTGTTGTGGTTGGTGTTGGAGGAAGTGGTAGTGGTAGTGGTCTGACCGCTATATACCGGTTCTGTGTAGCGAGCGTTAGGCACGACTGGCATCACTTGACACTTGGTTTCCAATTACACTACTCTTGTAATTGACTTCAAAAAGTGTTTCAATTATTTCATTGACGCCGTCATAAAAGTTTCACTCAATTTGTAAAACATTGTCCGCAATAATCAATTGATTGAAATGAGAGGGCACAATTACACTACACTACTGTAATGTGTAGTCTGCACTAATAGACTGCTATAACTGCTAGACTATAACTAGTGGTCTATCACACACAGGTTGTGAACATACTGTGGTCTCTCTACTACTCTATCGCTATTATATCGTTGTGTGAATTGCGCAGTCAGTCAGTCAATACATACAGACTTGAGTACAAACTTTGAATACATATAAAGTATGTTTGGCTGTGTTTCTCAGGACATGAAATGATTGTCATTTCTATTCAAAAGAATAACAATTTAATAATAAATCACAGATATATAGATATGTTGTGTATTAGACTGAAATACATTTACGCAAAATAAATGAAATGCATAAATAGGTATACATTTCCGATTTGACGGTTTTCCGGTTACGATAAGAAGTTTTATGTAAAACAACAATAACTTGTGATAAAATGTTACATTACTTACGAGTTGTAGTAAGAATTACTTGATTACACAATAACTTCAATAATTTAGGGTTGCGTTCAATCAAGTAATGATGCATTTGTGTTCAATATGTATATGATATGTGTATATCACTTGTCTATCACTTTCTGTCAAATAATTTAATGATTCATTCAATTAGTTTTATATCCTATTAATTGTCTTATCAGAATTTTATTCAAATAATTTACATTAACTCTGACAATGAATTCGATGTCGAGTTATGTGACCAAAAATGACTCATTTCTACAATGACTTTATTATATGAAATTCAATCATTTATTATATTTATGTTCAAATCTATTGAATTAATTGTTTTGCTTTTACAGGAAATTTATTCTCTCGATTCAAAGCCAATGCAATCGACCGTAAAATCAATTATTCTTTCTTTCTTTTGTTTTATTGGATATGAATATAACTCTCGTATAACTTCTCACAAACTCTATTTCAAGCATCTCTACAATTATATTATTAAAATTGAAAGTTTTTAAAAGTTTTGTTTAAATAACAATAATAAAAATAATATTTTTAAAATTCTCTTTTATTTACAAATCGTTGAAAATCTTATTCCTACGAAAATTCTGAAAACTTCACACTTTATAGTGAACTAAGAAAAGTCAATAAAGACTTGAGACATCATATTTAATAATTAATAATTTCAACAAATCTTTACTATTTATAAATTGAATTTTATTGTTAAACTAAATTTACACTTTAATTATACAATTTAATGTTCCATTGCATACTAATGGCACAAATAAAAAGATAAAAGATTTTCATATTTAATAAAACTTATTATAATAATAATTCTATAATAATACGATTAAATAATTATTTATACAGTATTTCAATACAAAGTAACTTGAATAACTATACAATAGTTTTTTAAAACTTGTCAAAAATGTATAAAATATTTAATTATACCCAATTACAAAGATATAATTTGTATATGATTTATGATGAATATGTGTATGAGGTTCAAGGTTAGTTTTGTGTTAAGTGAACCGTTTGTTGTATTAATTTGAAAAGGAATTAATAAATCAAACCTTTTGTCTTTAAAATATTTATATTATCAACTCATATCACAAGTTATAAGGTTATTTTAGGCATCATGTACATTTTATCGGTTAAACTGTTATTTTTTTATCGAAATGATATAATTACAAATTTTATTTGTTAGTAACATATTGTACTACAATTTAAAATTAATAATCCTTTGTTGCTAAAAAATATGTAAATAATATAATACTTATTTATAACATAATACAATTATTTCATCAAACTATTGAGTAAACCAAAAAATATTCAAATTACTGAAAGATATTATTTAAATTTATTTTTATCTTAAAAATTTTATAGTTTATTTAATATTTTTAATCTCACAAATTCATTTACATAGAAAACTAATGTAAATTGCTTAATATCACTTAAATAAAAAGTTTTAAATTAATTCTAAATTAATTTAAAATTATTTGGAGCAAACTGAATTCATTTTTGAACATTTTATTTTAAAATATAATATTAATAAATAATCAAATCAAATTAATATAAAATATTCACAATTAAATAATGTTATAAAAGTGAAAACCTCAAATCAAATTGAACAAGCATGAGTTTTAGATTATGATTTATAAATTCTGTAATATATAATACTGTATAGAAATATTATTGTAGACACCAATGCCATCGATTGCCACCATTTGAAACTACCTGAGCACTTGTTGCAATTCTTTCCATTTGAATAACAGAATATTCTACACGATGTATTACTAATGTAATTTTATGAACAATAAAATGAGCTTTAATTATGATCAAGCAAGGTTGATTAATCATAATTATTGTTTAAATAGTAACGTCAAATTAATTTTCAATATTATACAGAGTCTACAAATATTTTATTAATAAAATTGTATTAATGTTTGAAAAAAGTTAATTAATAATTCTAAAACTTTTCTTAAATAATGATATTTTAAATGAACAATGAATTTAATTCAATTAAATGTTAAAATATTCTTTTAAAACTATTACAAAATCAAAATTCCTAGCTTATATTAATATAGTATAATTCTAGTTTATTAATTCATAAAGAATAAAATAAAAAATTGTTTAAATTTTATAGAAAAAGTTAATAAGTTTTTGTAAATAGAAAATTCTATGTAAATAATGTCAATTTACATGTTGCATTGGATATCTAACTTAAAAATAGTCGATGACAAGATTGGTGTATTATTTTAGCATAATATTCTAGCATATTATGGTGACATTTTACAAATTTTAATAAGCGATGACCTCTCCAATTTGTAAAGTCATTCAAAAATATGATAATCAATTAATGTTATAGCCATTTAGTAGGTTAGTAGTTTGTATGCAGTCAAATTAAGTTTTTATTTTATTTCTAATTACAAAACTAATATAAAACTAATTACTTTTAATGAAATGTACTTAAAAATAAAATACAATAATTTGATTAAAAATCCAACTTGATATTATTGCAAATGCAACTATATAAATAATAGCTATAAAGAATTATAATTATAAATGGTCCTTGCAAACAATTTTTTAATTAAAAAATCTTATTAAGAATATTCTTGTTAGAAGAATTAAGTGGCGACAAAAATTATTAAAATTAAACATTTTTTATAATAGTTTTATTATATTTATAAATTGAGTAAAGTTGAGAATAACTATATAAAAGGTGCAAACAATTTTTATTAAACTTAATTTATTACAGTAGTTATAATTAATTTAAAAATAATAATAGAAATAAGCACTTGAAGTAATGTTTGGACAGATATTGTTAACAGACTTTTGTTTTTTACACAAAACCTCTAATAAATATATTTTGAAAATATGGGCCAATTATATAGCATTGAGAATATTTATGAAATGGATCTCAATTTTATTTATTTGTTAGCGTTTGTCAGCAAAATATAAGTCGTTTCTATGTTTTCAAAAATAAATTTATCACAAGATTTTAAATGAAACCAATTTAACAGCGAAATGCATTTCAATATTAAGTCTAATTATATTTAAATGATTTCCCAAACTTTCATTTTAACACATACAGTATTTATATAATGATTATTTCATTATAATTTAATTCAGTACTTGTTTTCAAAAATTAATTTCTAAATAATTTAAATGAAATTCAGGTTTTTTATATTCATCGTTTTTGTATGTAATTAAAAAACGGGAGTAAAGTTCAGAAAAATAGCAAAACTTTATATAACAGTAAATTCACTCATGTTTTCGTGAAAAAAGTGTTGAAATTTGAACACAAACTAACTTTCGTTACATTTCCTAAAGATATAGGAGGGAGAGAGAGAGAGAGAGAGAGAGTTTTGGGTGAAAAGTGATTACGCAATGGTTTGAATGATTGGATTTTTTGGCTGCGATTGCGATGAGAAATAGATATAATGGTAGAGAGGGTCGAGAGAGTGAGTGGAAAGAGTATAGAGAGAGTATGGAGAGAGAGAGTGGAGAGAGAGAGAGTGGAGAGAGTGGTTCTCATGTATGTTAGGATATATGCGTGAAAATAGTGAATGTAGTGAATTCATTGAATAGTACGGCAATAGTGCAGCAATGTTAGATGTATGTTATATGTTATAAGTGGTACAATATACAGCAATTTGATGGTATGACGTAAGGTTGTGGTGAAAATGGCGGAACGGTGTAAGCGGTGTGTAAATGAGCATCGTACAATTCGCAAAGAACTCAGCAAATGGCACAAGAATGTCGCCCTCCTGTGCGGTATGTCTGACCTTTCACTGTCCATACGTTATGCCAGTCATAGATATGTACAGCGCGTACATCACATGTATGATTGAATTTGATATAAATTTCATTTTCTAAATTTCATATATATTTCAGCAATAGTTTTGATTACTATAAGTAATGTAATGAATGTTATGTCTAATACTATGAGAAATCTCTGGTTTCCTTGTGTTTGACATTACTTTCACGCATAGAGTGTATACATAGAGTATTCACTTCTAGTTTATATTCATTATTCTTAATATATTTAAACTCATCAATAGATCTCACTTTCGATTCTTTGGGTATAATTTCAATAAAAATATCAAATTAAGCCAAAAGTATTGATGTAATGCTAAATGTATGCCATTGTAAGCAATGGTTTGGCTTAATATCTGTTATTTCATATCAATTATAGCTCTCAAAGTAGAAGACCTTAACAGAGATAGTGTGGAGAATGCATTGCATGACATATATTGCATACATTCATACATTCATGGGTTCCCTTATATCAAAATTAGGCCATTTTAGTAAAAAGGGTCGACTCTATCCACACTACTGCTAATGTTTGGACCGTTTTATTGCATTAAGCGATCGATAATTTATTATATTTTCTCTTTTCATTTACTTTTTATTTCATTCAAAACACTTCTTATCTGAATCTCGACTTTCCTTTCACTGCAAACACTATTTATATGTGTTTTTGTGCTTTTCGTCGAAAATTCTACTATTTTTGACAATTTTTCCCCGAAATATATATCCCATTCATTTTGTAATTAAAGCCAAATATTTTCAATAAATAAAATATATGTTCAATATAAACATATTTCATATAATGTGTCGTATTATGAAGTAAATAAGAAAATATATTTTGAAATTTAAGAAATAAAATATTGAATACATGATTGATATGAGAAATAGTTGGGCAAAAGGTTTGGGCGTTTTGTTACAAAGTCTAACAGGTATTGAGATATAAGTAGAAAATAAGTGAAACAACAATAATATGCTTAATATGGAGAGAAGGATAAAAATTTGAGTTAAGAAACCTTCAAATTAGGTCGTGATTGCAGTGATTGTAATGATTGTGGGCTCCTATACGCTGCTATTTATTGGCTTTTATAACATACACTGTGAACACAAATATATAATCAATTCGTTTACGAATGAATTTTTGTGAACAAATTTTTTATCAAAAATGTCGAAATATTTTAGTGTCATATGTATTGTCAGGACGTAAGAGAGAGAGAGAGAGAGAGAGAGAGAGAGACACAGACAGGACGGACGCATGAATTGCCAAATAATTATTCACTCACTTATCCCTCTCCTCTCCCTTTCGACTCAATTATGTTTATAATTGACATTAATTTTTAATTATAACTCTTATGCCAACAAAGTGGTAGTGAATGCTAATCATGAATGACTTTAGGCCTATAAGCGATTTAAATGAAATTATTTGAATTATCATTATAATATTATTTAGTAATTAGAAGGAAATGAAATACGAAGAGACGAGAGAGAGAGAGAGAGAGAGAGAGAGAGAGAGAGAATGTTTGCTTCATTTAATATAGCGATTCATTTACATAATGCGTGCAAACAGTAAAAGATCCAAAACTTTAATATTTTTGATTTATTACTCAATACTGCATAAACATTTGAATTTGAATTCAGCTTAAAATGGGTTCAATTTGTTGATTATATGCTAATAAGTTTAGACTTTAGCGTAATTTGCAAAAGCATTACATTTAATGATCATTGACTGAAAGTTTTTTGAATAAAACAATATAACAATTAAATGCTATGAAAGGCAATGTTTAATGCAGAGCACAAGTTGCGGCAAAAGTACAAAAGGGCTAATATTTGTCTTGACTTTCATATGTATAATAGGAATGGAAAGAGTGGCTCAAGAATTAATGGGAAGCAGAAAATGGAGAAAATTAATGACTCCTTTCAATTGTATGGAGCAAACAGAACCACAAGACTGGAGTCAAAGCAAAACGTGTTATTTTTGTAAAACCAAAATACAATCTTCTTGTGTAAGTCAATACTTTTGAATTTTAACCCTTTCTCAAAGTTATGCATCCAATCACTCGTATGCCATACGCTATAAAATGTTTTTTGTGTTATGTTTGCCAATGCAATGAATATCTCATTTAAGAATTTATTTAAATAATCAATCGCTTCAATACTGGATCGTAAACACAGTGCTTATATAACAGTCATATACTACTTGTATAACAGTTAGAGTAATAGTAAGAGTAATACAGTATCGCAGTATCACTGCACGAGTGCTTGCATTCAAGTCTCGTCGCATTCATTCACTTGATTTGCTGTGTTTCGCATGATTTCCATTAAACTTAAAGTTTTTCAAACTTTTATGTTTGGACTCTAATTCTTTGCATTTGTACCCAGTTTTGAATGATTTGAATATAACTGTGAATATAGTACTAAATATTTGTGTGGAAATGCAGGACTCGACAGATAGTGTTGTCCCGCCCTGTGATGAGTTGTTAGATGACAAGACATCTAATGACAACGATTCTGGAGACAAATGCTCATTATGTGCCGGCTTTCCGACACCAGACTCCAAGTGCTCGTGTAAGTCATCTCATTCTCCACATCCAAACGACCAGCCATTAGATCTCAGCATTCATTCAAGACATAAGGGATCAACTAATGGTGACTCGCATTCCAAAAAAGCCTATCAAATGCGTGATAATAAGAATTCTGTAATAAAAGTACCCCAACCCTCGAAACCCTCCACCACCACCACCACTACCAAAGCCATGTGAGTCCACTGTTGACTACATTTAGTATCCAATGACTGAATATGACTGAAAAAAATGATTTCCTATAGAAAGCGAAACCGTTTGCCGACAAACTCAACGTGGAAGCGAACCTATACTGAAGAGGAACTGGAGGCAGCGCTCAGGGATATACAAAGTGGCAAATTAGGCACAAGAAGAGCTGCCGTCATATATGGTATTCCGCGCTCTACTCTACGAAACAAAGTCTATAAGTTAGCCCTCGACAAGACTAATGGTAAACGTAAAGTCAGTCCATCCGCTGCCACAGCCATCAAAACCACAACAAATTCCAATACTTTTACAAAAAAGTTTTCTAAATCTTTACTTTTAAATCATAATAAAAGTAATAATAATAATAATAATAATAATAAAAGTATGAACTCAACGCTCAACCATATGTTGGACGACCCGAATAACAGTGCGATGTCTGCGAGTGAGTCACTCAAACAGATCCTGAAGAACGCAATCACACAGAAGGCGAGTGTCGGCGATGGTGTGAATGCTATGAAATCCAAGTCTAATCATTCGGATGAGCAGAACGTTGGGGACATTGGGTCCGGACAGGCGTTGGCGGGTTTGTTGCCTGGCGTTGGGTTCAACTCAGTGACCGATTTGTACAATTGTGAGGCCTTAGCGACCATCCAGATGTTGTCTACCATAGAGTGCGGACAGGCATTGGCGCCTCTGTTCACACAATTCTTGTTAGCAAACATACAACAGTTAGCTTTGGCTAAACGCCAATCAGATGACAATTGCGATGATATGACAAACATGATGTTCACTCCAAACATACCACTATTGCCTGATTTGATCCGTAAGTTGGCTGAAGACCAGATCATACAGACGGCGCGAACCAATTCGAGCCAATCATCGAACCAATCAAATGGTGATAAAAGTGAATCACACGAAGAATCCGGTGGTAATAACAATGTGATACTGAAGGTTCCGTCCTATAAACCTAAGACCACTTCTGCTGCCGTCACCACATCTGAACTCAACAAACAATCAAACGAAGAGCAGCCAAATGTGAGCACAAGTGATACCGAAACCGGTAATCAGTTGTACACCTCTTCTAGTCATACAGAAAGTGATGAACGAATTAATGATGAGTTCGAAAGTAAGAGTTTCTCTTTGAAGGATATCATAGCAAAGAGTATTAGTCGACGTCTTCATAATTCGACCTCAAGTGCAAAGTTCTCGTCTAATAATGTGGTCAACCATTTGGTCAACCATTCCGAAGACTCCAGTTCTGACGCCTTAGTCAGTGATGACAAGTACGACAAATTTGACGCCCTCTCAGCCTCTGACCACAGAAACAGCGGGAATGTGAGCGATCACAGCAACCCCTCGACCCCCGAGAAGAGGAATCGTCCCAAAAGAGGCAGATATAGGAACTACAACAGAGACGACTTGGCAAAGGCTGTCAAAGCTGTCCAAAGGGGCGAAATGAGTGTCCACAGGGCCGGTATGTCATACTTGAGACATTTGAATTTTAGTTTTGATTATAGTTAACATACATGTGACTCTCATAGGAACTCTGTTCGGAGTGCCGCACTCCACACTTGAATACAAAGTGAAAGAAAGACATTTATTAAGACCTAAGAAGAGATTGAGTGAAACGAGTGCTACCATTAAGAAGGAAAGTGTCAGCAAATCCAACGGAACCACAAACAGTCGTGTAATGAACGGCTCATCGAATAATTCTGCCATAAATTCAACAGACAGTTCAGTGCACCTGCCGTTATGGCAGTCGGCCTTTCCCTTACTTCCGTTAGAAGTGAATAATTCTGGACCAAACAGTGGGAACTTCTTTGCCTCAAATATGATGAGAAGATTACAAGAAAACGCGCGAATGAATGAGGAAGTGGTGAAGAGTGGCAATGAGTCCAATGGTGAATACGGGGGTCTATTGCTGGACAGTCTTATAAAGTCATCGCTCGCTAACAAAAGTGCAATGAATTCGTTGAATTCAAAGCGCAAATTAGATGACGAAGACAATGACAACGACACAGAAGTGATGAATACGTCGTTAAAACTGTTGAAAGAGGTGTCGGCGCTCGAGAAGAAGGATTGAGTGCTTTGGAGACATAGGAGAAGCAATTTAGTAGTGAATAAGTGCCGCAAATATCGCATATATAATACAGTAATAGATATATGAATTCCGATATTCGGAAAACGGGTGCCTTTTTGCACGTCAGATACGGCCACACAAACAGCCGATAAAGATGTCGATCTCTAGTCTAATATAAAAATTTCAAGATTTTCGTTACATTAAACCCAATTGTCTCTCAGCTGTGATGCTATTATAATAGTGTTTATTAGTGTTTGCTTTTTGGTCCAAAACAGACAAAATTATGAGAATATATGATAGATATACAAGAATTTTGTATTTCATGATTACAGGAATACAGGGTCACCACAACCTGCACTTCAATTAGGATTACTAGGATTACTAGGATTAGTGATAAGCGATTAATATATTAATATAAATATATTGATATTTTGAATTACGATAATTGAGAAAAAGGGCACAAATCTCATCGACATATATATTATATATTAGATGATTGTGTATCATATCGTTAATGATATTAACTTAACATTCAAACAAATGATACAAAAATATTTAAATATAATATCAAAATCTAATTATTGATTACAAAACAAATTGATATAAATGATAATGATTTGTAATATTTTTATACCACAAATATTTGATCCCAATTTAATAGTCATTCCACTTTTGAAAGCCTAAAATGTTTTAATAATGAAATTCAAATAAAAAAGAAAGGAAATTATTATCAAATTTTTAATAATTGCAAAAACCAAAGGCAAAGATGTTTTTAGATTTAGATTTAGTCACTAATGGTATATATATTGAAGGATAAGCTATTGTTCAATAGTGAAACACAGATTATATATTAATTTATATGAATATTAATATAAAAAAGTTTTTATGTTTTATTAATACAGTAATAGTGCCATTGATAGTGAGACAAACGTTTTTCATTTCTGTTGTTTTAATACTTATTATTATTGAAATGATATTATTTTTATGATTACAAAATTTTTAAAAAATTTAAGTTCAGTTGAATTTCTTTTGAAAAGAAAGTAACTTTTAAAGTAATTGACAAAATTTGTAAAATACCTAACCGTATGTGCAATACTACTGAGTATCACAAAGTTATGTAAAAGTTATAAAAGAGTTGTAAACGAGTCGAAAGTGTTTGAGTTTATAATCATTTGCAGAGCTATTGGTAAATATCCATCGGATGTGCAATTGTGACCGCATTTGTGAATTAGATATTAATATATTTATAAGTTTTGCTTTTTTGTTGTTAAGTATTATTTATTAATTGTTTTAATTATGAGAAAACCGAGTGATTCGTGGGAACCAAAAGTCTTGTTATAAGGAGTAGTGTATCGGAGAGGCTCTGAATGAATGATTGAAACATTATTACTATTATTGTACTTATGATTGAGTGAAAATACAGATTATTATTTGTAAAATTATATAAAATGATTAACATATCGCACAAACAAATCATTTTCAGATTGTCGTAGTATTTACACCACAATTATTATTAACTATTATTATATAAACCATGTTATCGTTTTAAAAGCAGTTATCCATTTGTTTGTACATCCATTAATTGTGCGCAATGTATTAACCTGATTGTAATCATTGTTAATAACTGCTTGTTATTAGAAAAGCGATTATCTATTGACCAAACATTCACATCAGAAAGCCTTGCATTGCATTCCATTTATTGTTTTATCTTGTTCACTTTTGTTACACTATTATACCATATATTTTATATTCAAACATCATTTCAATGAATACTATTATAATTACAATTTCCAACAATCCATTCATTTACAAATACAAACACTTATTGTTATTATTGCTATATTTTAAACAACTTATCTATATTTTAGTTTCCAAGCCTTTGTATATTATATTCTATTAAAAGCATTGAATGCAATATCTATTAAATCACTTTTATTTCGTTACTTTTCAACTGAAATAAAATAATACACCAGGACCTATTAACAAATACATTTAATACATGTAATTTACATGTAATACTGTATAATGGTAAGTCTTACAGTTTCAACTGTAACAGTCTTACAGTTCAGTCAATGAGTCATATTTACAGCTTACAAGTAATTAACTTTATTTTAATATTGGTTGACTGGTTCAATTAACTTATACAGTATTAATGAAGATTCAATGGTCAATGGTAACTTTTCATCAATCAAAATATTTGCCCAATTAATTATATTTTATAGTTAATAAATGCAAATGTTATTAAATTCCTACTATTAACAGTTTAATACTGTATAAAAAATATCCACAGCACTTTTGCAATAAGTTTTAATCTAACTTTAAAACAATTTACTTAATAGTTGTTATAAACATAGATTATTAAGAATATTATTGACTGTATATGACTATAAATTATAGTCTATAATACTTGTAATTGAACTTCCGTTACAATTAAATATAGTCTACCGGTATATAGAATATATGGCCGTAAATACTATAATTAGGATTCAGATGAATCCCACAATTCTTATGCATTACATGGTAAGCAAACAAACCTGATCAAATATGTATTTATAATTTAGACTCAAGTTTAAAATATTAAATTTAACAAATCCATATACGGTAACAGTAAATGGTTGAATTTAGTAATAGAAATCGATTGAAATGAATTTTTTTAACAACTTGTAAGTTATATTTACAAGATTTACAAAAAACTTATTTAAGTACTGATCACTTGAATATGTTTTACTGTCAAATCTTCACAATCTTTCATATATTGAATGACAACTTCAAGTAAGTTTAAGTATGAGTCGTAAAGGCATTAAAACTTTTAATTTGAAATCATTCAATAAATTCAATACATTAGAAACATAGAGTACTGTATATATAAAATTTAGTTACAATTCAAATAATTAGTATTATTGACCCAAACTATACAATATTGACACAATCTATCAAATGATTACACGTTTGAATTGTACTCAACGAAGTGTCATTCAAACGCAAACAAACTAATTGTACGGCAATTGTATGACAATCACAATACACTAAACCAATGGTAAGCCAATTGGCAATCGTTTGGTCCGACACTAAGTGGACGACTGTTTGGCCCTTTGGACCAAAGAGTACATAATGCCTGACAGGAGTGCCATAACAGTGAAGCCCTGCGCCAACACCCGGCCCCTCATCATCAGCTGCTGCTTACGGGAGTCTCCCCTTCGCATAGCTATCAGTCCATACGTCAGACAGAAAGTGGTCGCACAGATGCCTAAAAACTTATTTAAGTACTGATCACTTGAATATGTTTTACTGTCAAATCTTCACAATCTTTCATATATTGAATGACAACTTCAAGTAAGTTTAAGTATGAGTCGTAAAGGCATTAAAACTTTTAATTTAAAATCATTCAATAAATTCAATACATTTACAAACATAGAGTACTGTATATATAAAATTTAGTTACAATTCAAATAATTAGTATTATTGACCCAAACTATACAATATTCACAGAATCTATCAAATGATTATACGTTTGAATTGGACTCAACTTTGTGTCATTCAAACGCAAACAAACTAATTGTACGGCAATTGTATGACAATCACAATACACTAAACCAATGGTAAGCCAATTGTCAACCGCTTGGTCTGACACTAAGTGGACGACTGTTTGGCCCTTTGGACCAAAGAGTACATAATGCCTGACATGAGTGCCATAACAGTGAAGCCCTGCGCCAACACCCGGCCCCTCATCATCAGCTGCTGCTTACGGGAGTCTCCCCTTCGCATAGCTATCAGTCCATACGTCAGACAGAAAGTGGTCGCACAGATGCCT